CCCCCAACCTACCCCCCTCACCCTAAAAATAATGAGGGGGGGGGGACCTTTAACTAAGTACCTGTAAAAAAACAAAACTTACCATTCGATGTTTTCTTTCTTCTAAAATCTCCTTTTTTCAACCCCAAAAAAGACCAAATAAAAAAAAACATAATAACCGACGCAATAAAAAAAAAAAAAAGAATGCAAAAAAAATCCATCTTCACCCGGCAAGGGCTCCGCTCAGACTGAGCTCTGCAGGGTGGGGGAAGGCTTATAAAGCCTTGCCCCTCCCTGCAATTAGGCTTAGAGCACTCTGATTGGTGGGTTTAAGCCATCCAATCAGAATGCTCTGACAGGTAAATGAAGAGACTGACAGGCAAGTTACTTAATCCACCAATCAGAGAGTTATGAGTCAAATTACACAGCGTGTGAAAATTCCAAAGAACTTTCCCACGCTGTGTAAAATGACACAGAGCACTAATTGGTGGATTTCAAACCAACCAATCAGAGTGCTGTGACAGGTAAATGTAGAGACTTACCTGTTAGTCTGGGCGGAGCCCTCGCCGAGTGAAGATGGATTTTTTTTTTTTAGTGCGTCGGTTATTATGGTTATTATGTTTTTTTATTTGGCCTTTTTTGGGGCTGAAAAAAGAAGATTTTAGAAGCAAGAAAACATCGAATGGTAAGTTTTATTTTTTTTTACAGGTACTTAGTTAAAGGTCCCCCCCTCATTATTTTTAGGGTGAAGGGGGTAGATAGGGGGTAGATACTACTTATAGCATGGTATCTGCAGAAATGCAGTTTCAAGTCTGAAACAAGATGTCTGTCTCTGCTCATTTGCATGCCAAGTTAGGAATTCTGGGATAGTTGTGGAAACATGATTTCTTGAATTTCTATGCCCATGAAGGACCTGACAAAGTCCAACTTGACATAAGCATCTGTTGCATAGCAGTCATTTTTTTTTGTATTTGCGCTGTGTGGAGTTGTATCGTGTTTTATTATTATTATTATTATTATTATTATTATTATTATTATTATTATGATATTTATAGAGCGCCATCAAATTCCGCAGCACTTTACAGTGGGTGGACGAAAAGACATGTAGTTGTAACCAGACAAGTTGGACACACAGGAACAGACGGGTTGAGGGCCCTGCTCAATGAGCTTACATGCTAGAGGGGTGGGGTAAAACGACACAAAAAGGTAAGGATAATATTAGACGAGTGTTTTGTCTCAACACAATCATTTTGGTTCCTACTCATAGCATCGACACAGAAGCATTAAAATAAACAGGAATTATAAATATTTTTGTGCCAATTAGCATTCACATGGTCTAGTGCTGTTGATTCCTAAACAGGACAAACATTTGTTTTATTCTGTTTTGGTTTTGGGGATTTTACTTGTGTTTTTTTAAATAAATGTGAATGCCATTTTTTTTAGTTATCTTCTATCAAAATATGAGGAATGGGAAATATTGTCTTCATTAAAGTTGAAAACAAAATTGTCAGGAGTTGTTGTCCATGTACCGGAGTTAAGAAGACAAGTGATAAACCGCATTCATAGTCAAAGAAGCAAAATAATATTCGGATCGGTCAAAAAAGATCTATCAGAAAGTGTTAAAAATTGCTTCTTACACAGTAAGCACACGCAAGTTTTCCAGTCAAAGCCCATATACTAACCAATCACAGCACTGAGAGGCATATTTAAACCCTTTTCTCAGAGCCCTGTCGTGGTTTCCACTTGTGGTTGTCAGAGAGCGCGTTCTTGGTATATTTTTCTGGTTATTGACTTTGGCTATTGTTTTTGACTTTCCCTTCTTCTGGTATTCTGACCCTTGGCTAGTTATTCGTATTGTCTCATACTGTATCCGCGACCGTGGCTTGTTCTTACATCAGTCCGGCCATTCTAAGGTCTGGTATACGTTGTTTGTGTTAATATAGTTCTGCGTGTTAGGTCACACAGTAATCGTGAGAGTTACCAGATGATTAAGCTAACAGGTGTGGCAATGGATCTGGTTTTGCTAATGAATAATATAGAAGGAATACCTTGGTACAGCAGGGTATGGAAGGATGCTAGCGTTCAATTCGATACGGAGCCAACTACAGTGGTGTTTGTTGATTTGTTTCTTTAAAATGGATTTGTAAATATGACAATATGATCCAAAAATTTACAAAGGCTATATTCCATCTAATCTTTTATTTAAAATGATAATGATAAATTGATGACAGTTTTTCTTTAAGGAGGTAAGTTATGCACAAATGTAGCCATCATTTCTCTATTAAACACCCCTCAGGACATTGCGTGAGAATGTTTGATATTCCTTAGGAACTATGGAATAGTTCTATTCCCACAAGTGATGACACAATATTTCCATAACATTGTAATCAGACCTATCTGATGTTTATCATTACACAGGAAGGTTAGATGTCACCTGTTGATGATTGATCACATATTCCTTCTCCAGAAGTTAACACCTTCTTAAAAATATATATATATAAAATAATTACTGGCAATATTGACATTCAATGGTTCACCCACCATCTCATGTTGCAGAAGAATGTTCGACATCTAAAATTGCTGAGCTTAATGGGAGTTGAGCCCTAACAACAGATGGTGGTCTACAAGCAGAATTTACAGTCTCATAATGAAGTAGAAGATGACTCATACACGATACACGTAAACAGTCTTTGACTTGTAATGCCACCTCCTCTGGACCCCCAGCTCTGGCTGTGCCTCTCTCGGTGACCCTGCTTTTCTCCTCCTCTTGGCTCTGTGACATCTTTTAAACACATAATTGGAATTCCGCTCTGCTACACACCTCCCTTCTTCTATTTTCCATTCCTACAGACCCTTTTTTTAACATAATGCCTCAAAAACAAAATATGTTCTGACCAGAGAGGCATGTTGCAACCAGAGGTTTCTTCACAAAAGAGTTGCACGGATTTTGTAGATGACTTGCACAGCGTCTCTGAAATAGGTTATACCCAAGCGATTAAAGGCAAGTTGATTGCTTTGTTCAGCTTGGTTAAAATGAGGTCCAGCTATAAAAATAGGTCCTCTGCTATTACGCTATAGCAAGTCAATCACTTGTAAACCCAAGAAAGCAAGGCTGTCTGGAAAGCTGAACCTAAGCAAAACGAATAGTGTAGTCTTAGTCCCAAAATAATAATAAAAATTTGCCTATGGGTCCCCTACACAGCCTATCCATGAGGTTAGGAGTTAACAATTAGGGCTATGAGAAATGGAACACAATTTGTTGAAGGGAGGACCTTTCCTGTGGTTCTCTCTATGCCCCTCACCCATCAATAGAGGGTGTGTGGTTAAGAAAACTTGATTTGGTAGGCAGCCCAAGCCACTCCATCCCCTGGGTTTGTGACGAAGAATGCAATCTGTTAATTAGTTATAGGAACATTCCCAGCCACATAGCAACTTAAGCTTATTTAAAGTTGTTATGGATGCAGGATTGCCCGGGGTGGGTGCTCTTCAGGGGTTAATTAGTTTTCCAGTGGTTCAATACCAAAGGGACACTGTTGGCACCCAGACTACTTCAGCTCATCAAAGTGGTCTGGGTGCAAACTCCCATCAACCTTAACCCTGCAGTGGTAAATATTGCAGTTTTTATAAACTACAATAATTACCTCTGAGGGTTAACTCCTTAGTGGCTGTCTCCCAGACAGCCGCTAGAGGGACTTCCGGATTTGAAACAGACTTTTGGCTCGTTATCTGACGCTGGACATCCTCACATTCTGCATGAGGACCTCCAGCATCTGATTTTCCCCATAGGAAAGCATTGAATAATGCTTTTTTATGGGGAGATCCTAATGCGAGAGCAGCCATTGCCGCGCATGCGCATTGTCTCCCCCACTGACGTCCGCAGAGCGTGGGCGAAGCTGAGTCAGTGCCAAGGGACATTGGCGCTGGACCCAGGTAAGTGACTGAAGGGGTTATTAACCCCTTCAGTGCCCTGGAAGGGGGCCTTGACAGAGGAGAAATCTGTAGTGTCAGGAAAACTAGTTTGTTTTCCTGGCACCATAGTTCCCCTTTAACTTTCTTCCTCTCGCTGCTGGTGTATGAGGAAGGTTTTGCTATTGATGGGCTGAAAGCATCAGCTGCCCATTGAGAGAAATAGTATGTACTATTTCTCTTAATGAATACACATATATAAAATGCAGACTTTTTCACTAAACTCAAGTTAAAAATGAAAACGCAAACATTTAACCCCAAATAGTTGATTTGAAAAAATCTCCAACTCAGCTACGGTCATATCATGGCTGTTTTAGCCTAAATTGTGCATATTCTGATTTTTATTTAAATAATTCAGAGTGTAGAGAATTAATATGCCTGCCTCCAGTCAGATGTCAAACTCCAGCCCCATAATGTATCCAATGTGGTGAGCACACATAGAACTCAAGAATAAGCTAAATGTATTTATTTTAAGCAGCAAGCATAAGCCATAAAGTTTCAAGTCAATACCTGACTTTTCACAAAATGTCAAGATAATGGAAATTAAATATTGAATATATTCTATTGCACCTCTGCTTAAAATAAAATGTTGTTCTTATATTGTTAAAGAAACACGCCACTGAATACATCGTTTTCATTGGGGTACAGCAATAAACAGCTTGCAAAAGCTTTAATCTGTTGCTTCTGAAAGTCATCCCCTTCTTACCCAGCCCAAACTTTCTATGGCTGTCCAATCACAGACTCCCCAATGCAGCGCAAGACAGGTGCTCTGGACAAATGCTGCCTCTTGAGTTTAACTCCACTGAACTATATTACATGGAAGTAACAGGACCTCTTGTCTGGTTGACATCCACAAGGGTGGAGCAAGGTTTATTTATGAAAGTGCCAATTTCTGTTGAAATCGGCACTTTTTGTATAATGTAAAACAGGAGGACGCACTCTTCATACATTTTAATTGTATCATTTATATTGAGATTTTCAACAAAATACAGACATATTTGATGTTGAGCATATAGAAACAAAGAAAACAATAACAAAATTGTACATGTACAGTTGTTCTGAAAAATGTGCATACCCTTGGAGAATTGGTAATATATGTACCATTTCTAAAGAAAACATGAGTGAGCAGCTGAAACACATTTCTTTAATTTTGTATGGAATTCATACTCAACTGTAAGTTACAACAGAATGTCACAATCATAAGAAAAAAATGAAATGACCCCTGTTCAAATATCTGCATACTCTTAGTTCTTAATACTGTGTATTGTCCCCTTTAGTATCAATGACAGCATGCAGTATTTTGTAATAGTTGTCTATGAGGCCCCTAATTCTTGCAAGTGGTATAGCTGCCCACTCGTCTTGGCAAAATGTCTCCGGGTCAAGCAAAGTTTTTGGTCGTCTTGCTTGAACCTCACTTTTGAAATCTCCCCAGAGTGGCGTGGTGATATTAAGGTCAGGAGACTGTGATGGCCATTCCAGAAACTTCACCTTTTTCTGCTGTAACGACTGGAGGGTCATCTTGGCCTTGTGCTTAGGGTCATTGTCATGCTGGAAAGTCCATGTGCAGCCTTCGTGCAGAAGAATGCAAATTGTCTTACAGTATTTTCTGATAACATGCTGCATTCATCTTGCCATCAATTTTCACAAGATTCCCTGTGTCTTTCGAGCTCTCACGGTCCCAACACATCAGTCAGTCATCACTCTGCTTCACAGTGGGGATGGTATTCTTTTCACTATAGGCCTTGTTAAGCCCTCTCAAAACATAGCACTCCTGTGGTTGAGACCATAAAGCTCTATTTTGGACTCGTCACTCCAAATTACAATGTGCCAGAAGCTGTGAGGTGTGTCAAGGTGTTGTCTAGGTGTATTCTAACCAGGCTTTTTGGTGGCATTGGCGCAGTAAAGGCTTCTTTCTGGCAACTCGACCATGCAGCTCATTTTTGTTCAAGTATCATCGTATTGTGCTCCTTGAAACAACCACACGGTCTCTCTCCAGAGCAGCCTGTATTTATCCTTAGGTTACCTGTGGATTTTCTTTGTATGCCGAACTATTTTTCCAGCAGTTGTGGCTGAAATCTTTCTTGGTCTACCTGACCTTAGCTTGGTATCAAGAGATCCCTGAATTTTCCACTTCTTAATAAGTGATTGAACAGTACTGAGTGCCATTTTCAAGGCTTTGGATATCTTTTTATATCCTTTTCCATCTTTAGTTCCATTACCTTGTTACACAGGTCTTTTGGCAGTTCTTTTCTGCTTCCCATGGCTCAGTATCTAGCCTGCTCAGTGCATCCACGTGAGAACTAACAAACTCACTGGCTATTTATACACAGACACTAATTGCACTCTAAAAAGCCACAGGTGTGGGAAATTAACATTTAATTGTCATTTTAACCTGTGTGTGTCACCTTGTGTGCTGAAACAAGGCCAAACATTCAGGGGTATGTAAACTTTTGATCAGGGCCATTTGGGTCCTCATGCATAAAGTCGTCTAAAAAGCTGGAAATCCCTCTAGTGGCTGTCTGGTAGACAGCCACTACGGGAGGACTTAAAGGATCACTATAGGCACCCAGACCACTTCAGCTTAATGAAGTGGTCTGGGTGCCAGGTCTATCTAGGTTTAACCCTTTCTACTGTAAACATAGCAGTTTCAGAGAAACTGCTATGTTTACATATGGGTTAATCCAGTCTCTAGTGGCTGTCTCATTGACAGCCTCTAGAGGCGCTTCCGCACTTCTCACTGTGATTTTCACAGTGAGAAGACACCAGCGTCCATAGGAAAGCATTAAAAATGCTTTCCTATGGACCAGCTGAATGCCCACGCGGCTCTTGCCACGCATGCGCATTCAGCCGATGACGGCGACAAGGAGGAGGAGAGTTCCCCGAAAACAGGTAAGATTTAACCCCTTCCACCCTCTAGAGCCCGGCGGGAGGGGGGCCCTGAGGGTGGGGGGGACCTAAGACCCTATAGTGCCAGGAAAACGGGTATGTTTTCCTGGCACTATAGTGGTCGTTTAACCCTGCAATGTAATTATTGCAGTTTAAAAACGACAATAATTACACTTGCAGGGTTACGGGTGATGGGAGTTGGCACCCAGGCCAGTTTAATGGGCTGAATTGGTCTGGGTGCCTACAGTGTCCCTTTCATAGAATAGGAAGGTTTATTTTTCACATATAGGGCTAGGAGGGCTCTATAGCAAGTTGCTAGAGTCTTGTGTGGTGTAGGGGTGCCCAAGCAGGTTTGCTGAAATGGAGAGAAGTTTATCAGGCAAGGTGTATGGAGTGTTCCTTTAAGTTCCATTAGTATTCTCCTTAACATTGGAAATATTTTTGTAAGGTTTGTTTTTGCCAGCTTTATATCTGGGCACTATACTGGTGAATGCACTATAGGATTGGTATAAACATTCTTATGGGATGATTTTTATTTACAGTCCAGGTTTGCATATAATACCTTAAATACAGGGTGTGATATGGGTGTGATTTCCATAACCTTTACCTGCTATAAACTATTTATTGCTTGCCAAATCCAGCAATGAGAAAGAAAATACCCTTGTGTCCTTGTTTTCTGGAGTATACTAGTTCAAGCCAGTTCAAATCAAAAGTGGCTGTAAGGCTTGGGATGGAAATGGATACCCTTTATGACTATGATTCCTTGTGTGATTCCACCCATCACGTCAGCTCATTGCAGTATTGAGATAATCACACAAGCCCTTACTCTTAAGAGATGGAACATGATTTTTTTTTTCCTTTTGGAACAACCCAGCTATTCACATTGGCTACACAGCAAGCCAAGGTTTAGGAATAAATGCCTGGCCATAGATCTGAAAAGTACTTTTTAGGATTTGTCAAAATGTACAGGGTATGTTAGCATTATAAAGAGGACTGGCACTAAAAAGGAGATTGGTGGCCACTATACACAGCATGGCATCTTCAGCAGTGTTGTATATTAACTTTCCCAGCAGTCTTCCAAATGTTAAGATTCCTCCTGTCACTTCTTATCCCCATTCCACGGTCCTAGGTATGGAGGTGCCCACTCCTATTTGAAACCCCTCAAATCGCTGGTTTATATTATTTTCTCTTATCCTACAGCCTGGGGTTTGGGAATAAGGAGCATGGGAAAATCCCTGATGTTTTATACAATATCATTTGAGTTAGCGATGAATCCCATATGAAATAAACATTGTGCATTTTTTACACTGATTTGCCTGGTTTGTGTCGCCTGCAAACAGACATATGACTTTCTGGTTAAACAATACTAAGCAAATATCTACAAACGAAAAAAACAAAGCTCCCTAACGGTATAAATAAATATATGAATATAAGAATATGTAAGATGTATGTGTTACTTTTCAACTTTAGATTACCAGGTCCCTCTGTGATATAAAAATAAGCTGTGCCACAGTGCTTCCTTACTGGAGTCCAGTTCACCAGATCACAGACAAAAATGTGAAGGGACAGCAGCTACACATCAATATCACTACATTAATGGGACACTGTAGTCACCAGGACAACTACAGCTTAATTTAGTTGTTCTTGTGTATGCAGTCAGTCCCTGCTGGCATTTTAATGTAAACGCTGCCTTTTCAGAGAAAAGACCGTGTTTACATTACTGCCTAAGGACTCCTCCAGTGTCAGTCATGCGGCCACTAGTGGTGCTTTCTTGGTCAGGGGTCAGCAGCACCCTGACAGCCACAAGAGGCACCCCCTCAGCACTGACCAAGAACAACACAGAGCCCCCACTGGGGAGCTTTTTTTCAATGTTTTCCTATGGAGAATCTTGTATGCGCATGAGCCACTCGCCACACATGTGCATCAGGTGCTCAATACTCCTATATGAGAAGCATTGGATTGGACCAGCTATGTAGGAGGACACTAAAGTTTAAAGAATACAGGTCTGTATTCTTAGTACTTTATTGTTTTTTTAAGTTTAGACCAGAGGTTTCATAATAGAGGTAGAAGTCCGTATTCTTTGCTTTCATATTAGAGATGTGTTTGAAATGTTTGCACAATATAGAGCAAGTCTTTTTATTTCCAAACCAAATGATCATGTTATGTCATAAGCTTTCCTAAAACCCAGAGTTGAGTAAATTGAATACCAACTTGGGATAAAATGAGTTACCCAGTCTATTTATACCTCAGTTTTCATGTAGTAGATATTTTTATGAGACTACCTAAATACATACACCCTGTTCCAAATTATTGTGCAAATGATATTTTTCTCATTTACCTAAATAATTGATGTAAATAACAGTCAGCATAATTCTCATGTCATCAACTATTAAGAGTACAATTCAAATTTTATTGAACAAACCTCCTAATGATAACAGTATTTTTTTTTAAACATAAAAAACTTACAATACACTGTTCCAAATTATTACGCACAGTAAGTTTCAAAACACTTTATAGGTTGTAAAGAACTGAAAATTGTCATTTGTTGTGTTTGCAGCATATTTACTGAAATCAAAAGCTATTTCATCAAACTTATAACAACATTTTAACTTTTTAAACATTTTAACAGGTCACGTTACATTTTAACATAGGACCCCTTATTTGAAAGCAGCTTCACAAGTCTTGCATCAATTGAACTTGTGAGTTTTTGGACAGTTTCTGCTTGAATTTGTTTGCAAGATGTCAGTCAGAATAGCCTCCCAGAGCTGCTGTTTGGATGTAAACTGCCTCCCACCCTCATAGATCTTTTGCTTGAGGATGCTCCAAAGGTTCTCAATAGGATTGAGGTCAGGGGAGGATGGAGGCCACACCATGACTTTCTCTCCATTTATCCCCATAGCAGCCATTGATGCAGAGGTATTCTTTGCAGCATGAGATGGTGCATTGTCATGCATGAAGATGATTTTATTACAGAAAGCATAGTTCTTCCTTCTGTACCAGGGAAGAAAGTGGTCAGTCAGAAACTCCACATACTTTGCAGAGGTCATCTTTGGGCCGACCAGCTCTCTTCCCATGATTCCGGCCCAAAACATGACTCCACCACCACCTTGCTGACGTCGCAGCCTTGTTGGAACGTCCACCAACCATCCACTACTCCATCCATCTAGACCATCCATTGTTGCACAGCACTCATCAGTGAACAGGACTGTTTGAAAATTAGTCTTCGTGTATTTTTCTGCCCAATGCAGCCATTTCTGCTTGTGAGCATTGGTTAGTGGTAGCCGAATAGAAGCTTTATGCACAGTTGCAAGACTCTGGAGGACTCTACACCTTGATGTCCGTGGGACTCCAGAGGCACCAGCAGCTTCAAATATCTGTTTTCTGCTATGTAATGGTATTTTAGCAGCTGCTCTCTTGATCCAATGCATGGATCTGGCAGAAATCTTCCTCAATGTGCCTTTATCTGCACGAACCCGTCTGTGCTCTGAATCAGCCACAAATCTCTTAATAGTGCGATGATCACGCTTAAGTTTTCGTGAAATATCTAATGTTTTCATACCTCGTCCAAGGCATTGAACTATTTCACTCTTTTCGGCAGCAGAGAGATCCTTTTTCTTCCCCATATTGCATGAAAATGGTGCTCTGCTTAATAATGTGGAACACCCTCCTTTAGTAGTTTTTCCTTAAATTGGGCTCACCTGGCAATCTAAATATCACAGGTGTCTGAGATTTTTTCAGTGATCAAAAGAGCCCTGAGACACAATGCCATCCATGAGTTAAACTGAAAAACAAAATATTTAATCTTTGTGACACTTAAATAGAATTTGCATAATAATTTGGAACAGGGTGTACTGCTAAATGAGCTTAGCACAAACCCTTTGAACAACTTAACACTTCTATAGCCTTGGTCATTCTATGTGGTACATGCCATAGAGGTTTATTTTATGAACATCAAATTTTAGTGAATTAAAATCTGAAATTTAGACAAATAAATGGTTAATGTGGGGGGGGGGAGAGGGAGGAGGGAGGCAAATCCAAATCAGCTATATTCCCAGCTTGACTATTTTAGTCAAAATTTTCCAATTAATTTTCAATTCATCACCATTCACTGTTTAGTAGATAAATCCCATTCTGTTCACAAACTTTTTGTTTAACTTTGTGTAACACCTAACAGGTTATTGCATATCTTCAAGTGGGTGTCTGTGAATATGTGGGTTTATCCTTTGATGTGCCCGGAAGAAATGCACTTTTTTTTAGTCCCAGCTACATGAAATTTGTTTCAATAAAACTAAGGCAATGCTAGACTAAGTGACCCTGAGAATCTGACTCCGCATTATGAGACCCTGAGCTGCAGTAATAACCTTGAGACAGAGAAGAAAATTCAGTTTCCTAGTATGTTTCTAAAAGGCAGCTGTCATCTAACCAATAACAATGTAAAACTAATTCCCAGACAACTGTTTTACCAGATAACAGTTGTGATATAATTATTTGCTCTGTCTCTGTTAGGGGCCAATTAATGACATCAGCGGAAAAGCCAGTGAGAGATGATAAACACTAAAGGTCGCAGTCTGAAACTGCATTAGTTAGGATTTCAAGGAAACACAAGTAAAAAAAGACAGTATTGCTTATAAAAATGTTGTTAAATTCCTGTTGCTACATTCAAAAATGTAAAGCCTTTAAAGCAGAACTGTCACTGTCTAGAGACTGCATAATTTGCAAAAACCCACGACAGTGACATTACAGCTGGGGTCCAGTGGCTGAGTGTCCCTTGCTTTGTCACCATCCTCTTCTGGACGGACGTGCCAGGAGCAGATATCACTGTTTTACTCTTGCGCATGCATGACAATACAGTATTGAGATCTATGGAGGATCTCGCTAGGCCCAGTGTCAAGAAGTGTCAGGCATAGGAAAACTACTGAGACAAAGTAGTCCTTACTTTGTCTCAGTATATCTTTTTTTTTTTTATTATTCTTTTTTTTTTCTGTGCAAGAGAGTTACAAGCAGTATATATTTTGACAACATTGGAATATCAGTGAAATTCCAACATGATCAATTTGAATATTTCATAAAGATTGCTTTAAAGAGGCTGAATATGTCTTCCCATTTGTTTAATGGAATACTGAAAATAGAATGTTATTATTGTTTTCATCTAATCAAGCTATAGTAAGTCAGCAGCCATCTTGGGATTCCATCACAATTTTCAAACAACCAATAGGGTTATTGTTAAAAAAAAATACAACCAATCAGAGTTTGTGGTTAGCAGAACAGCTCCCAGCATTCCACAGTGCAGTGCTTTTTGAACTCTCGAGTGATATTCTCTGCCCAACAGTTCCAGGTTAACTGGAATCATTGTTTTCTTTAAAAAAAAAAAAACAAACTGCTTAACATATTTGAAAATAATCAACAGTTTTAACAATATCATATAATGATGCATAGATTATTTTTGATGACAAAGACCTTTTTTTTTTTATTTCACAGAAAAATGTAAAACAACTCATATTTTTTTTTCAAATCTCCAGAAGTAATGTTTCAGCTTTTCAAGATGCCTGTAGGTACCAAACATATAGATAGTTTATGGTGGAGGTTATGGAGCTAGGATGCTATGGCTGCAATCCTTCAGGTTTTGTCAAGCCATTCTTAAGCTGATTCCCTAGCACCCAATTCCTGCTCTCTCATCTGGAGACATCATAACAGGGAAGTAATTTTTCGCAATATACAAGTTAGAGGGACAATATTGTCAAATTAACTTTTACTTAATTAAGCAGTTATGGTGTGCAGATTATGCCCCATGCAGTCTCGCTGTTCAATTCTCTGCCATTTAGAAGTTAAATCACTTTGTTTATGCAGCTCTAGTCACACCTCTCTGCATGTAACATACACAACCTAAACACTTCCTGGAAAGTGAGATCTAATGTTTACACTTCCTTTATTGCACAGTCTGTTTAATTTAGGATTTCTTATCTCCTACTCTGTTACTAGCCTACTAGACCATGCACCATGGAACCTCCAGCATGTGATTAAAGTTGAATTTACAGAGCAGGATATAAAAATTTCTAAAGTAAGTTAAGATGTGAATGAAAGTAATACCATTTTTTTCTCCACACAGGCTGTGTGAATCACATCCAGGGGAGTTGTGGCTAGGGATGAAACAACAGTGATTTAACTCCTAAATTGCAAGAATTAAGCACTCAGACTTCAGAGGGATGATCTATACACCAAAACTGCTTGGTGACTATAGTGTCCCTTTAACGGTATTCAGCAAGCATACACAGGGGCCAGGGTTATGTTTATGGAGTAGTAGATGATTCAAACTGGAGTGCAAGAAAATGACCGTTGTAAAACGAAATGACCGATCTGGGTAAAGACTGACTATAAAACATATATCAGATCACAGTCTGTCAGCAAATGTGTCATGTCTTCCTGACTATTATAAAAAGTGTATTAACATCATTACTCAGAGGTATATGGTTCTCGTAATACCAGCTTGTGAACGTGTTTAATGTTTGCCCCCAAAAAGGTATGATGAGAAGTGACAGATTCTTTTGATAAATCCAAAGATCAATTTTACAATTTCTTTTATTAGAAAACGTGAGGATTTTTTACACAAGTGCTAATATGAAATCTGGTGTGCTCATTAGATTGGGATTTAGGGGTGCGCTTTACAGTTAGAGATTTCTATGACTTTATGGTGCAGGATTTAAATCCTTCACTGGTAAGAATCTTCTTTAGAGTTTTTCTCAAAACCTTTGGACGAAAGAGAAAGAGAAGGGCTAATCAGTGGAGAGACAGAGGAGTTTTAAAAGACTGTATTAAGTGGGCAAGGTCCTATGAAAATATAATGTTACATAGATAAACATAGAGAAGGGATATACACTGATTAGACACAACATTAAAACCATAGACAGGAAAGTAATTGGCATTTATTACATCATTATAAGGGCATCTGTCAAGGGGTGGGATATATGGGGATTGTATCTCCACTATAGTCACCATCCACCCCACAATAGTCTCTAACCTCCAACTACAGCCCCAGTTCTCCCGCTATAACCCCTATCTCTCCACTAGAGCCACTATCCTACCCATTATAGCCGCTATCCCCTCACTTTGCCCCCAAATCCCCACTATACCCCTAATCTCTCACTACACTCCTTTACATCCTGTATAAACCGACTATAGCCAGTACTTTCCCACTAAATATTATTCCCTCACAACAAACCCAAACGCAATTCATCAAGCAGCCACCCCCCGACATGTCTCCCCACAAGCAGCATTCCCAGAAATGTACAACACTACAAGCAGCCTCCACACACATACACATACAACCAACTCTATCCATTTACGAACCATGCACCCAACTAGTCACATCCAATTAATCATACTCCAGACTAGTCGTATAAATGCATGCGATCAAATACTCCAAACTTTGTGTGTGTGTGTGTGTGTGTGAATATATATATATATATATATTGAGGTTACTTGGGGTAGCAATCTGACCCTATGCAGACAACGTATATCCCTTCCATAACAGTGGTGTTCTCTGATGGATGTGGCCTATTTCAGCAGGATAATGCAATGAGTCACACTGCAAAAATTGTTCAGGAATGATTTGAGGAACAAAGAGTTCAAGGTGTTGCCTGGGCCTCCAAATTCCCCTCAATCTCTATCCAATTGAGCATCTGTGAGATGTGTCGGAACAACAAATTTGATCCATGGAGGCTCCACCTCACAACTTGCAGCACTTAAAGGATCTGCTGCTAATGTCTTGGTGTCAGATACCACAGGACATGTTTAGAGCTCTTATGGAGTCCATGCTTCATCACTTCAAAGCTGTTTTGGCAACACAAAGGGAACCTACACGATATTAGGTAGGTGGTTTTAATGTTGTGGCTGGTCAGTGTATTTAGATGTTCGATATGAGAAAGTGCATTTGGAGGGAGCAAACTGGTGTCTATTCAACAAACAGTGAATTACAGCAAGTAACTTAGTAACAGTTTTTCACTTGAACAACAAAGTTGAAGGTTTTTTCTAATGCTGCTACTCTGGCCTAAATTTTCCAAGATGTTTCTCAAGCCTCTATGGTCTGCTGTTTAGTAAATACACCCAATAAGCATAAACAGAAAAATGAGGCAATTACAGAGGGACATCCCCTAGTTAGTACTAGAAGCCTATAAAAGCAAAGGAAACCAGGGAAGAGACAGACATAGACTCCTCACTGTGTGATGCGGCAATTTGTAGCAGACGCGTATCGTCCTGTATAGTGAATATTACACCGCACCACATTGTTGGTGAAGTCGGACTCCAGCACCTTGTATTTAGGATTCACAACGACCTGCAGGATATACAAGTTATATGTTTAGAAACATCCACAAGAGGGAAACCAGTAATAGAAATAAATATGGCGTTATAAGCTGTATAAAGAGCATTCCTTACACAGAAAAAGTTTCAGACATTATTAGAGCTGCTAAACAGTCATATTTGTTTTTGGATGAATTAAAAAATATATATTATTTATTTATTTTACTATGAGTTGAATGAAACAAAGAATGACTAAATTGCCACAATAAGTCATACTAATAAAATTAATTAGTTCACGTGAGAAGGGTCTTTATAAAGAGAGGTGATTTATACCCAGCCAAAATAATCCTGCCTGCATTTTAATGGAATATCAACATAGAACCTTACAAAATAACTCAAAAAACATGGGAAGTAGTACTAAGATGTACTCACTTCTCAAAACCTGAAAAAAAAACAAGCAACATACGACAATACTGTGTGTTCTCCACAGACTACAGCATGTAAAACCAGAACACACACATAAAACGTCTTGTCTTGTTGGTATGGCTAATCAGAGATATCAGCAAGGGCCAAGAGACCATGCCCCTTAGAGAATAAGTTTGAACAAATTTTGTTTAAAAAGTACATGTGTTTTAGTTCAGTTTCTCAGCTACCACAATACAGTTCTCGAACTGTTGATTCTACATATATATTCTGCTGTACTCTTTCATAATCTCATTCTATCTTCTTCATGGGAAATCTCTCTCTCTTAACTGTGAGCTTCCTCAAGTGCCTTATTTGTGGTGTGTACTCTTTTTTCATTTTACAAAAAAGTTCATATTTAATTAGAAATGTGCACTTTTATAAATTATCTTAGTTCCCATTCCTCCCCTCTCCCCTCCCCCCCACTATCCCCTCACCCTCCCTTCTCCCCCTGTCTTTCAATCAGACAACCGTCCTGCTACTTCCTGGTTTGGTT